TGTCACTATCAATCACTAGAATTTTATGTGGAAGATATAGTTACAACTTCTGTGGGGAAAGGAAGCAAAGTAAGACAAATCCAAGCAAAGACTGCATTGAGTCACAAAATAAGTTGAGGGTAATTAAAATAAGTGAGGAAGCTTCCTGGACTTTTCTTTAAAGGAGTTTTTCTTTTCTTCAGCATTTGCTCACCCTCGTGTTACTGCAAATGTACATTCTGTTTTCTTTTCCTGTGGATCACAAAAAAAATTAATTTTTAAATATCTGTTTGTGTGTATATATATATATATATATATATATATATATATATATATATATATATATATATATATATAGTAGCAGTAGCATAGTGAATCAGTCCATCTATCAAGCTCCTAAAAAACAACATAAAACCACTATAAAATATCATATGAAATTGTATATACACTACTGTTCAAAGGTTTTTCAAAGTTTTTTTTTTACTTTAATTTGGCAAGGATACATTAATTGAATAAAATGTATCATGGTTTTGACAAAAATATAAAAATATGACGCAACACAGATGTTTTCAACATTGATAAATAAATGTTTCTTGAGCAGTAAATCAGCGTATTAGAATTATTTCTGAACAATAATGTGACACTGAAGACTGGAGTAATGATGCTAAATATTCAGCTTTGATCACATAAATAAATGAGATTTTTCTATGTATTCAAATAGAAAATATTTATTTTAAATTGTAATAATATTTCACTGTTTTTTAGATCAAATAAATGCATCCTTGGTCAGCAGAAGAGATTTCTTTTAAAAACTTTTCTTTTCTTTTTTTTTTCCTTTTTTAAAATCGTACCAAACTTAAACTTTTGAACACACTGATTCTTGAGAAGTGGGACAAAACAGGGTGCAAAATGTAAAAAATAAAACCTTAAGACAAATGAAACTACATTTATTAGGGATGCACGCTATTATCGGACTGATAACGAAATCGGCCGATAATGGCTTTAAATGTAAATATCGGCATCTGCCCTATATGACAAATTTATGCCGATATGTCTTGCCTATAAGAGGAATACATTAACTCACATGTGCTCAAGGTGTGCTAATGATCAAGTCAGCAGTGTGGCTCATTCTTGAAGCAAAGTTTTGTCTGAATGATGACTAGATTGACTGTTTTGGATTGCTGCATTTAATCTGTGAAAGCACGTACAGAATGATGTGTTTGGTGTGTGATAAGAGTAAACAGTAAGCACGTGCAGCGGCAGCCTTCCCCGGGTCCTAACGCCCGTTCGGTAAAGAGTTTTAATCTGTAGGCGGCGCTGTTGTCTGACTTCTAATTAAATTAAAAGTAAAATATCCTACAAAAATAACATTTAGACTGTGTTTCTGAATAAATGAAGCAGTAATTGATGTCATAAAGTAATGAGTATGTTTTGATTTAAAGGTCAGAAGCTATAGCTTACATGAAAAAAAATCTAAACATGACACTTGAAAATTAATTTTATATATACTGATTTATTCATTAATGTGTAATGTTTTATTTTTTTTAACAAATCAAGCATCGATAAGCGCTAAAATATTTTCTGAATTTTACTTTAGACCAGGGGGGGGGAAATGCAGCGATTGATATATAGTTTATTTAGGCTATAGTTAAAGCGTAAATGTACTGTCAAAAAACCTTCATTGTTGTTTATTTAATTCTAACAAAGTTCTTGTTAAAAACTAACCAAAATTAAAAATATTTTGCGTATAATTTCTGCACAGGAGAGACTTGGTGTTGTTTCCAAACAAAAGGAAATATATTGGTATCGGTATCGACCAAAATGAGTTGAAAAATATCGGCATATCGGATATCGGCAAAAATCCAATATCGTGCATCCCTAACATTTATGTATCTTATATGTACTAAGCTACTGAGCTAAGCTTTTATGCAACCTCCCAACTTTTCTTTTTTTTATCAAAATGTGTTTTTTACCTTGGACTGTGTAATATAATTTCAACTTTAACAGCAATCAATGGCAGAAAGTAACTCAGAAGTGTTTTGTAACAACATCAGGGTGAGAAAATTCCCAGAAATGACATTTTTAGCAGCACTGTTTGTTCTTTGTTGGCTTTAGCTGTCTCATGTAAGCATAAAAACAGATGCTGATTTGTTCCCCAGAACCGCTGCAAAAGCCACAGACAGTCTGCGCTGTACGAGCCTGCAGGCCGCAGACACCACAACCTACTCCTGCTGCTGTTGCCCTGGGACTCTGGTGCCTGTCTGACGGGAGGAAAACCCTGAAAACGCTTGGCACAAGAGACCTACAGCGAAGCTGAAGCAGTCAGGGGCTTCTGTGCCAATAGCTAGCTGTGTGTTTAGTGCGTATCGTCATGCCGCTTGTGCTTTCTAGGCTCTATGGTGGACCTGGGACTTTTTCCTCAGTATTTCTGAGAAGAGCATTTAATGGAAGCCAGGCAACATGTCTGATGCTCCTGCTCAAGTACACTCATCTCTGACTGGAGACGTGATCGCATTGAACTCTCATCATTATGCGCTTCTGTAGCTGAGAAGGAGATCTTATGAGGGAAAAACAGTCAGAGAGGAACAGAAATAATGAGACTGCTGGCTTTCTTACAGAAAAGAGACCAAGTGTGTTTGTGTTTGTGTTTGCGTAGCTGACAAACAGACATAAACCTTTTTTCAAGGTAGTTTGTAGATGCATCACTTTTCGCCTCGACTGGTTCTTTAGTCCTGCAGTGTGACAGATTATTTCGAAGATTTGTAGTCTCTCACCGCAGGATATTTCTAGGTATTCAGCTGTTATTCAGCATACTCCCATATGCTGCATCCACACAAATCAATAAAGCGTTTACTTATTATGTTTATTAATGCTATTTTTATTATGCGGAGGTGTTGCACTGAATAAATTAGCATGGAAAAACTTAAATAATATAGCAAAGTTTAATTAGTGGAAGGTACAACTTGTACTACTTACAAGCTTGACAAGCACTGTGTCTTAATTTCTCTATTTTAATTTCTCTATTAAGTCAGTGCATACAAACTTCATCTTCCGTCTAGGCTTGCCTTTGACCTGTGACAACAAATAAATAAATAATAAAACATTAAATAGTGCAGTTCAATCACAAGGAGCAACTTTCTTGGTACGTTTATTCATCATGGCATTTTTATCATCATCTTATTTTATATAAGATGATGCACAAAACCAGTCATAAGTCACACGAGTATATTTGTAGCAATATCCAAAAATACATCGTATGGGTCAAAATTATCGATTTTTCTTTTATGCCAAAAATCATTATGATATTAAGTAAAGATCATGTTCCATGAAGATATTTTGTAAATTTCCTACCGTGAATATATCAAAACTTAATTTTTGATTAGTAATATGCATTGCTAAGAACTTCATTTGGACAACTTTAAAGACGATTTTCTCAATATTTAGATTTTTTTGCACCCTCAGATTCCAGATTTTCAAATAGTTGTATCTCGGCCAAATATTGTCCTCTTCTAACAAATGGTGTTTAAATAATGCGTATTTATTCAGCTTCCAGTTGATGTATACATCACAATTTTGAAAAATTGACACTTAAGGTCTAGGGTCACATTTATTTATCATTTTAAATTTGATTCCAAGGCATTATGGGATAGCAAAGTGTCCATTGGTTTATTCACTGCATCTTAAATATGACATATTTTACGCGTCATTTGACATATTTTCATGGATAGTTGTGACAAAATGAATTTTATGATAGGTAACAGTGAAGACTTTTTTTACATCTTTAAACACAAATGTAAATGCAAGTATGTATATTTATGATGATCACAGACCCTAAATAGTCAGTTGTTTTGTTTATATTGATATGTTTCTGTAATTCATAAATTATAGTGCATGCTGAGGATGTCACGCTACAGGATGATTTCCATATTTTACTTGAAATTTGGAAAAATTGGACACAATTTAAATATATAACTTTATCAACTCTTAATGTAGCTTATCCGATCAGAATTAAAAGTCGGATCCATTTTGAATTTTTATATAATATGAAATGTGTCATTCATTTGGTATGAAAATTATTATTATTAATAATTATTCTGGTTTGCATTCCTCAGGTTCCCAAAACAAAGAGAAAATAATCAAATAAAAGGAAGTATCTTTTGTTTTTCCCTAACTGGATTTACATTTTATGAGCATTTTATGAACCCAATGCTATTTGACGTATCATTTATTTATTTATTTATTTATTGTTCATTTTCCCCCCTCTAATTTCTTTGTCTGCTCACAACACAACTGGTCAGATAATTAGTTCATTTTGGAAGTTCTTACGAGCGCTGATAATGTTTCAAAGAGTCTTTGTTGGCTATATTTGCATATATTACACTGAAGCGATCAAAAGCCCGCCGTGTGTCGCTGGGCGATATTTGCTTCACCATAGGTGCTTACAGTATCCGTTTCTGAAGATTTTAATTGGGTTGTTTTTGTATGAAGCAGGTGGTGCTTAATTTGAGCAAAACCCTGTGCTTAGTGGATTTAAGAATAAATGAGCTGGTATTTGGGAAAGTGATATTTGAAATCAGATTGCGGTGTTTATATGCAGCTCTGAGCGGTCATTATTACAGCTCCAGTCACTCAAGGTCATCCACGACTTCTTTTATCCTTTATTAGGCCTGTATGAAAGCCGTTACCTTCACACGTTTAAATGAAAGGCCTTGCATGCAGGCTCTTGCCTTCAATTGATGTTTAATTGCCTTCTTTTTATTAATTTAATCAGACTGACTAAATCGTGGCTTTGTAATTGAATGCATTCAAACACGCCGCTATAATGCATCGCGACCAACACATACGAGTCAGAATAACAGTAAAGGGGTGTATTTGCGTGCGGCTGTAATTCAATAGAAGCAGATGGCAGAGCCCCCGCTGTGTGTTTGTGCTCCTCTGTCTGTTTTTGAGTTTGTTTTGTTCTTGAACGAGGGCTAAAGCAGATTATATATAAACGCTTGGCTTTTGGTGATCTTTCCCAGGCCCGTCGTTCAAGCCCAGCTGCAGCAAAGGCCAGAAATATCTGGAGTTCATTCCCATCAACCTGCACACACAGAGAATGCGGGTGACGTGTCCAAGGAAAACAGGTGCGTCTCATGCCTCCTTATTCCCTCTCTTTACATTCTCTATTTAGAATCGAATACTAGCGTACTGAATACATTCTGTGCAACTTGCATATAAATAAATAATAAATAAAACAACGTGCCTTATTACATAATAAATATTTTAAAGAGTAACATGCTACTTTTGTTGTGCAAATTTGTTTCAGAATCATCTAATGAATTTAATTATCTTAGAAATAAAATTATTAAAGGGGTCATATGATGCGATTTCAATTTTTCCTTTCTCTTTGGAGTGTTACAAGCTCTTGGTGCATAAAGAAGATCTGTAAAGTTGCAAAGACTAAAGTCTCAAATCAAAAGAGATATTCTTTATAAAAGTTAAGAGTCAGCCACGCCCTCCTAAAACGGCTCGTTCTAACACGCCCCCACATATCTACGTCACTATGTGGGAAGATTTGCATAACGCCGCCCAAATGTTCACGCAAAGAAAGAAGGCGTAACTTTTAATTCTCACTGTAGTATTGTTGTTGCCGCTGCTGCCATGTCGTGAAGACTCTGTGTGTTTCATTGTGAAAGCGAAACTACTTTGTTTGGTCTTCCAAAAGAGGACAATATCCGCTTCGTCATGCCTAGAGCTCTGTGCTGGTCTCTGAGGGTATACATCAACTTAGTGCTGGGGATCGCCGGATCGGCTTTCACCGTGGACGAAGCGGAGTCCAACCCGGGGCCGTCACATGTGGTTGCCGCTGCTTCGTCGGATCCGCCGGGCGCGCCGTTCTCGACCCCACATATGACAGATAGCGGAAGTGATAGAAAAGTGTTTATTACGTTTGAAATATGGATATTTTTCTTACAAAAACACATGGATTTGCTACAGGGTGCCTTTATTCACCCCCCCCGGAGCCATGTGTGGCATGTTTTATTATGGATGCGCGCACTTTATTTGATGACTTGTGGAGCTTGGAATAGCCAGGACAATTTTTTATATAACTCCGACTGGATTCGTCTGAAAGAAGAAAGTTATATACACCTAGGATGCTTCGAGGGTGAGTAAAAAACAGGCTAATTTTCATTTTTGGGTGAACTAACGCTTTAAAGTAATTCTTCACAGCACACACCCTCTCTTGTGTAGCATGAGTCTGGCTGATTATTCTGGTGTGGGAAGCAGAGCATTAGGGCTGTCAAAATGGCTGAAAAACTAAATTCGAATTTTTTACTTAAATATTATCAAAATTCGAATTATATTCGAATTTAAAAGGCATAATTTCAGTTAGGGTGAAGAAAAGCTTTTGGATTCTCTCCTGAGGCCACAAGAGGGTGCACCAAGCAAAATATTACTAATGCACGTTTATTCAAAGCATAAGAAAAAATGACTATCGGTGAAAAACGTGCATAATGTTTATAAACCAATTATAATTAATTAAGTTGCTTAAACAACTATAAACAAAACAGCATCATGTATGTATGCATAGTTTAATACAAAGGGCCGAAAACCAATCACACAGAGTAAATTTTTCATTTAAAAACATGAGTTGTAGTGGGATGCGGAAAAAACCCTCCATAAGGTCTTGAGATATGTTTTTTTCAAAGTTGAACTTGCATTAATTTTACATGGCTTTCTAAACATGCGGCTCTTTTGTGTGAGACGCGAGTGCAATGGTTATAGACGTCCCTCTAGAAAATGCGCAAAATATGCATTCTGTGTGAACGGCTTGGTTTCAGTTTTGACGTAAACAAGATCTTCTCCGCATTGGTGTTCTCTTTTCCCACAATATTTGTAATTAACTACGCAGCAGCACATCTCATGCGCCACTGATAAGGCTGCCTCCTTAACGCACACCTAAAATTATAATGCAACGTTTTTGCATTCGAATGTGGATTTTTATTTTAAATTCGACAAATATTCGAGATTACAATTTTTTTTGACAGCCCTACAGAGCACGGTGTTCTCACCGATCAGTACAGCACCCTATTAGCAGAGTGCGTTTGGGCCAGCCGCCCTCTGATGCTCCGTTTCACACATGCATCCCGGTGGCAGGTGCGCTGCAGTCAGTGAGGGGTCAGCGGGGAGATGTTGACAGGTGCAGACGTGCACTGAGACGACTAAATGAGGATATGACAGCCCAGCAGGACACTCACTCCTGATTGGACAAGATGCATGTCAGAATAACAGGATTCACAGCAACTGGGAAACATGTCAACTGTGAGGATGGAAGGATGTTTCCAAAATCTGTTTTAAATATCACTTTTATAATTGTGGTCAGTAATTGATTTAAAATGCTTAAAAGTTTACAATAATATATATATATATATATATACACTACTGTTTAAAACCTTGGGGTCAGTAAGATTTTTTACAAATGTTTTTGAAAGAAGTCTTTTCTGCTCACCAAGGTTGCATTTTTTAAAAATCAAAAATACAGAAAAAACTGTAATATTGTGAAATATTATATATATATTTTAATATAATGTAGAATGTAATTTATTGCTGTGATCAAAGCAGAATTTTCAGCATCATTACTCCAGTCTTCAGTGGCACATGATCCTTCAGAAATCATGAAAATATTTTTGATTATTCTAACATTTCTGATATCTATGTTGAAAACAGTTGTGATGCTTAATATTTTTGTATACTTTTTAAATAATATATTTATATATTTTTTTTATATTTATATTACTTTTTTAGGATTCTTTAATGAACGTGAAATTAAAAAGAACAGCATTTAATTGGAATAGAAAATATTTGTAATCATGTAAAAGCCTTTACTGTCACCTTTGATCAATTTAATTGCATTAATGTAAAATTGAATCCAAGTATTATTATTGTTATTGTTATTAAATGTATGTGTGTGTGTATATATATATATATATATATATATATATATATATATATATATATATTGTATAATTTTTTTAATAGAAAAGATCCCAAACTTTTGAACGATAGTGTAGATAAATTAGCAATATATAATAGAATATTTTATATACATAATTTCTTTTTGGGATTTTAAAGAAAAAAACAATTAATTGCTGATGCTAAAATGATTATATTCATGTACAGAAGAAATTCTACATCATGACAGAGAGTCTGGTACAGAACAGCTGAATGACAGAATGAGTTTAAAAGCCAGGCATCGTCTCTGAGTTCATGTTGTTAATGGCGCTCTGTCTTTAAGGACGCTGCGTAAACACAATTTCCTAGAAGACGCATTTGTTTATAGCCTCAGACAGAAGTCTTGAGGTGACAGTAGTGGACAGCACTCTACAGACTGCAAAATACAGAAAAAACTGTAATATTGTGAAATATTATATATATATTTTAATATAATGTAGAATGTAATTTATTGCTGTGATCAAAGCTGAATTTTCAGCATCATTACTCCAGTCTTCAGTGGCACATGATCCTTCAGAAATCATTCCAATATTTTTGATTATTCTAACATTTCTGATATCTATGTTGAAAACAGTTGTGATGCTTAATATTTTTGTATACTTTTTAAATAATATATTTATATATATTTTTTATATTTATATTACTTTTTTAGGATTCTTTAATGAACATGAAATTAAAAAGAACAGCATTTAATTGGAATAGAACATTTTTGTAATCATGTAAAAGCCTTTACTGTCACCTTTGATCAATTTAATTGCATTAATGTAAAATTGAATCCAAGTATTATTATTGTTATTGTTATTAAATGTATGTGTGTGTGTGTATATATATATATATATATGTTGTATAATTTTTTTAATAGAAAAGACCCCAAACTTTTGAACGATAGTGTAGATAAATTAGCAATATATAATAGAATATTTTATATACATAATTTCTTTTTGGGATTTTAAAGAAAAAAACAATTAATTGCTGATGCTAAAATGATTATATTCATGTACAGAAGAAATTCTACATCATGACAGAGAGTCTGGTACAGAACAGCTGAATGACAGAATGAGTTTAAAAGCCAGGCATCGTCTCTGAGTTCATGTTGTTAATGGCGCTCTGTCTTTAAGGACGCTGCGTAAACACAATTTCCTAGAAGACGCATTTGTTTATAGCCTCAGACAGAAGTCTTGAGGTGACAGTAGTGGACAGCACTCTACAGACTGCCTTTGCTTGTTACTAGTAAAATGCCACGGATGTTTCTGTTTTCTTTTTGCCTGGTGGTGACAAGCCACTTGCAGCTGCTCTTAAGTCCCATAACATGTCCAATATTTTGTGATGTTGTTTTTTTTTTTAGAAATATGGAAGTGTTTTCTAATCTTTCTAAACCTATTCACACATTCAGATGTCAAATCCTGTCTTACATGTCTCATTGAATATCTTACACTCTTAAAAATAAAGGTTCTTCGTCTGCATTGATGGTTCCATGAATAACCTTAAACATCCATAGAACCTTACCATTCCACAAAAGGCTCTTTATAGTGGAAAAAGGGTCTTTAGATGATTAAAATGTTCTTCACACTAAGAAAATAATGGTTCTTTTAAAGGATTAGTTGACTGCCAGAATAAAAAATTCCTGATAGTTTACTCATCCCCATGTCATCCAAGATGTTCATGTCTTTTTTTCTTCAGCCGAAAAGAAATTAAGATTTTTGAGGAAAACATTCCAGGATTTTTCTCCATATAGTGGACTTCTTTTGGGATCAGTAGATTGAAGGTCCAAATTTCAGTTTCATTGCAGCTTCAAAGGGTTCTACACGATCCCAGCCGAGGAATGAAGGTCATTGCACACTGAGTCCGAAAATTTCATCCGAAATTTCCGCATGTTAAAAAATAAATACGACCGCACGTTATGTCAATCACGTTAACACACTGCCTCCGAAATTTTCGTCCGTCATAAAAAAAATTCGGATCGGGTTAGATTTTTTTCCATTTTCCGCATCCGTAGCAAGCATTTTGAGAGGTGTTTTGATAGTTCAGAGCCACCGTACAAGCAAACGCCAAAATCCAGAATGGCGATTGTCAAGTTCATCCACTTCATCTCACAGCACAAAGCACTGTAATGATCCTTGCCCACTGAGTTCACAGAAATTGGTGGTCTTCTTTTTAATATGTGGCTCTAGTATCGCTAGCAAAGCATCAAACTGAGCCACTGACATCCTGAAGTAAACTTTGAATCGTCCCGGGATAATCCCGCTGCTCCTGAGGGGGAACTCTCCTTCCTCTCTATATCTCAGTATTGGATGGACCCAATATTTACTCTCTTTTTCTGTTTTTAAGAAGCGAGGAGACAACAAAATCATCCTCACTGCTTGAAGACTCCATTTAGTGCTGTTTTGCAAATTTTTTCGCATCGGACTCAGTGTGCAGGTTTCTGTGCATGACGAATTTTTAGGATAACGAATACGAAAAAACGCATACGAAAATTTCAGGCTCCGTGTGCAGAGACCTTAAGGGTCTTATCTAGCAAAGCGATCAGTCATTTTCTAAAAAATGAAAATGTATATACTTTTCATTTATATGTATTTATACTTTTTAATGCTCATCTTGCACTAGCTGGACTTCACGCATTAGGTGATAAGCGAAAGTGCAAGGAAAGTCAAACGCCCTTTACAAAAAAGGTAAAACAACATAATTGGACGATTTTGAAGTTTGAGTTTTTTGCCCTACCCTACCTTTTTGAACCGAAGTACACAGATGAAGAACTAGCAAGGCGTGACCTTTCCAACATGATTACGTAATGCGTGAAGTCGCACATCGCAGAGCTAGTGCAAGATGAGCAAACATTTGTGGATAAAAAGTATAGAAATGCTTATATTTTTTAGAAAATGACTGATCGTTTCTCTAGATAAGTCAGCTGGGATCGTGTAGAGCCTTTTGAAGCTGCATTGAAACTGCAATTTGGACCTTCAACCTGTTGGTTTTCACTGAAGTCCACTATATGGAGAACAGTCCTGGAATGTTTTCCTTAAAAACCTTAATTTCTTTTCTACTGAAGAAAGAAAGACATGAACATCTTCAATGACATGGGGGAGATAAATTATCAGGACATTTTTGTGTCAGTGAACTAATCCTTTAAAAGAACCAGTATTTTCTTAGTGTGAAGAACATTTTAATCATCTGAAGACCCTTTTTCCACTATAAAGAGCCTTTTGTGGAATGGAAAGGTTCTATGGATGTTAAAGATTCTTTGTGGGACCATCAATGCCAATAAAGAACCTTTATTTTTAAGAGTGTAGGATATTCAATGAGAACTGTAAGACAGGATTTGACATCTGAATGTGTGAAATTTTTATTGTAGATGTGAAGTAATCCTTTAGGAACTTTTCACTGAAAGTGAGGGAACCAACAATGGTTCTGTTATGGTTCTGTTGAGAATGGTTCTGTTACTTTTCACTGAAAGTGTGGGAACCAACAATGGTTCTGTTATGGTTCTGTTGAGAATGGTTCTGTTACTTTTCACTGAAAGTGTGGGAACCAACAATGGTTCTGTTATGGTTCTGTTGAGAATGGTTCTGTTACTTTTCACTGAAAGTGTGGGAACCAACAATGGTTCTGTTATGGTTCTGTTGAGAATGGTTCTGTTACTTTTCACTGAAAGTGTGGGAACCAACAATGGTTCTGTTATGGTTCTGTTGAGAATGGTTCTGTTACTTTTCACTGAAAGTGTGGGAACCAACAATGGTTCTGTTATGGCATCACTGTGAAAACTTTTCCAAACCAGACTTGCTTTCTTCTATTGAATGCAAAACATGTTTTTTAAAAATGTTGGTGACCAAACAGCTTCGGTTCCCATTGACTTCCATGTGTTTTTGTCCATACAATAGAAGTCATTGAGAACCGAAACTGTTTGATCACCAACATTCTTCAAATTATCTTATTTAATGTTCACACAAGTCCTACAGACTTGAAACAACATGAGTAAATGATGACATAATTTTCGTTTTGGGTGGATTATCGCTTTAATCGGCCTAATTGTTAATATATTTTTCCCACAGTGTAAAATTAAAATCGCACTAAATTACCTTGTTAAATTGACAGCCCTACTTAAAACATTTCTTAGCCTCTGCAAACAATTCATCTCTGCCACAGAGAGACACAGGTTCCTGAGCCCCTTGGATCAGAGCCTCCATTTATAGAGACTGCAAGAACCTGCACAAATCGCCTCCAAATTGGGCCATGCGTGACGGATGATCCTGACCCGTATATATGCCACTGTATTCATCGTGTGGGTGCACTGTTGTGAAACAGCCAAATTAGATCCTCCGGAAGTGGCCGGGGAGCGGCGAGAGTGCGAAGGTGGGATGGAAGTCGTCACACAAAAACCTCGTCGTCATTAGCGGAGGAACGAAGCGGCCAGAGCAGTGTCCAGCATCGTGAGGAAATTTGGCTTTTAAATGCAAACTTTTTATGAAGTTTATGTATATGCTGTTGTCTAGTTCATGTTTTTTCTGTCTTTTCTACATTATCACTGGAAATATTCAGTAGTATTAATTCTGTTGCTCAGGTGCTTCCCTTACTTGAAACACGTTGCGTATGTTTACATGCATCTAAACAGCATGTCGTTCCACACTGAATCCTGTTTAATAGACGTATCACAGTTCCTCAGAGAGCTGGAGGTGGAACAGGCTGTTTGGATGTATTCACAAAGCAACAGGAAGCACATAAAACGAGACGAAATATAGACGCAAACCGTGTACTGTGGGCTTGTTTGTGATTTGTGAGGCCTGTTGAAGGATGTTTGTCGATGTTTCCTCCGCAGATTCCTTCTATGATGTGGTCACAGTAGGAGCTCCGGCAGCCCATTCGCAAGGCTTCAAGAACGGAGGCTTGCAGAAACTGCTCAGCAAATACGAATCCGAGAAGAAGAGGTCAGTCTCCACATGTTCACACGTGTCTCTTCTGATTACTTTGCTCTGGTGATGGAGAATGATTTTCTGACAGCTGTATATGAAACCATGAAAGCCTCCGTTTGTGCATCAGACACTCACCACCATCCTTCTGTAGAGATGGAAAATAGAGAAGTTCGCAAAATATGTCACTTCTGTCATTTGCATGGATACGATTTTATACAAGATTAATCTGTCAACATGACACCACCGAGGAGTTTTTTCATTTAATGAAATATTATAAATTCATTCAATCCTTGTCATCCATGTCTAAAACTAAAAATTGATTTTGAAGAACCTTATTTTGAGACCACAGACTGTCAAGCTACAAAGCGCTATGAAAACAACATAAATGTGGTACATATTGATGGCGGCGAGTCTCAATATCGTGCACTGAGGCAAATGAACGTGTAAATTGATTATTTCGCTGGAGAGAAATAAGCCGCGTGAGCTGTAGCACGTTTAGACTTATTTCTAGGGAACTGTGCGAAGGTTGCATCATTCGGAAGCTGAACTCTAATCCGCATGCACATTTTTATCTTTCTGAAGTCAATGTTGTTAATGTTTTTGCTTTAGGCCTAAATATTTTCCCTCATTAAGACTCTTTAAATTGATCAATCTGTTAATCCAGTCAAATCCAGTTGGTTTCAATGAATGATGGAGGATTTTTTTATTTCACTATTCCCCAAGCTTTGATTCCAGTTGAAAAGCGAGCGCGAACACTGATCCGTGAACCCGACAGAGCTGTGAATTTCTGCCACATCGATACGGAATGAAGTCTGGATTTACAGTTTGTCCGGGATTTCATGTTCATACACACAACACTATAGAAGTAGAGAAAACTTACGGCCATATCCTACACAATTACTAACTTTCAGGAAATAAGAACCACATTCTAGAGGGGAATAGTATATTTATTTAGTTAGTTATATTCTGGTCCTCGAATCTGATTGGCTGGGAGCCTTTTCCAGCAGTGCAATATTCTAGTGACAAAAGCACCCCAACCATTTTACCATTTGCATCACTCCGCTTGTCATCAACTGTATCAAAACTGAATAATTTTCTCACCCTTAAATTGTTGTTTTTATAGCTTGTTGCTATATTGTTGCTAGGCTGTTGCAGGATAGAAGAAAATGTTTTGGATGTTTGCATGTGCGTGTTACTGTTAACATGTTGCAATGCGGATTCTAAGGGTGGTGTATGTGGTTGCTAGAGTGTTGCTAGGTGTTTCTTAAAGGGGTGGTTCATTGCGATTTCACTTTTTTAACGTTAGTTAGTGTGTAATGTTGCTGTTTGCGCATAACCAATATCTGCAAAGTTACGATGCTGAAAGTTCAATGTAAACGGAGATATCGTCTTTTAAAATTCTGGCAGTTTAATGCCTACAAAAACGGCTGGTAGGGACTACAACAAGTTACTTCCTGGGTTCGTGACATCACAATCCCAGATAAACCCCGCCCTCGGGAAAAGGCAGCAAAGGTGGCGAGGCCATGCTGCGCTGCTTTAGAGAAGAGGAAGAGAAAACTGGGTGCACGGAAAAATCTGTTCATATATGAATCACGATTCTGTCTTCTAACGATTCTAATGGATTCATAAGTTTCAAAATCAATGTTCTAAAGCAGTGGTTCTTAATACTGTTCCTCGCGTTCCCCTGCTCTGCACACGCTCTGCATCTCTCTCTCTCTCTCTCATTCAGCTCAGCTCCAACAATAAACTGTTACAATTATACACTTATTTTCACATAGCTATGAGAAGCATTAAACATGGATGCGCGTGCAGTTGCCGTACTGTATTAACGCTTTAATCTGGATAAAACAGTATATTAAAAGCTAACATAAGCAGTAACATTTACAAATAACAGCGTATCTAAAAGTATGAGGCAACAACAAACAGAAAAAAGCGGGACGTGCACTAGACGCACACTAGAGGCGGTTTAGCCAATCACAACACACTGGACTAGCTAACCAATCAGAGCCCATCGCCTATTTCTGAGGGAGGGGCTTCATAAAAGAAGGAAATGATCCATGCTTTCTCAGAGAAGGGACAGAGCGGTGTGGAATAAAGGTAAATTATGTGAAAAATAAAGCATTAACACATGTTAGACTGCACCCCATAAACAATCAAGCCTAGAAAAAAGCCAGTGAACCACCCCTTTAAGACATTCTGAGTGGTTTTCAGTGTGTTGCTATATGCGATCATGCAGTATTGTGTTGCTATGTAACCTTTTCTTAACCTTTTCTGAGGGGTTTCTAGGGTGTTACTAGGTTAAAAATGTGTTCTGTGTGGATTCTGAAGTGTTTAGTTAAAACATTTTATTTTGTAATTATTATAAATATACATGAATTTTTATGATTTATGCATATTTAATCTTTTTAGCAACCGTTTTATTTTCTGATTGCTGTTATTTTATAATGATTTATTTTAATTTTACATTTTTATGATTTAATTCATTATTAGCTTTTCATTGAACTCATAAATCCCCTGCAGTTCCTTCACAAACCCCAGTTATGTTTATTGAACTTCCTGTTGTTAATAACAGCAAATTGAATATATTTTCTTTTTCTTTGTATTTTTATATCAATATGGTACAAGAATATCCTATTTAAATCAATGTGATGAACAAGTTAGATCAGAAGTAATCTAAAAGTAGTCAGATTACATTACCTAAAATGTGCAATGTAATGATTAAATTACTAACTACAATTTTTGCCATGTAATTTGAAATCAGCTTGTAGGTATTCTATCCAGTACTGTTGGTTGTTAACATGTTGCTCTATGGATTCTAAGGTGTGGTTGCTGAGGTGGTCTAGGTGGTTGTTTGGGTGTCCTGGGTGAATACAAATGTGTTCTGGGAGATTTTATGTGTGTGTTGCTGTGCAGTTGCTCAGATGTTCTAGGTGGTTGATACAGTACATTGCCTTTATCTAGTCTTTTGAGCTTTTTTAGCAGCAGTCTTGCTTAAAATATATCATAATTTGGGCTAAAACCACTTTGCAAGTCTGAATGTGCAATGATTGTACTGTCATGAAGAGTAATAAGTGTTCACTTTCAGCCACAAGTTTAGCTCCAAATTGTTGGTGGAATACATAGTAACAGTGGTCCTGTTGTTTCTCTCTCTAGAGTCCTTAATGACTTTAATAACTTCAGAGTCTCACATTTTCCCAGTTGGATCCTGTTGGCACGACTCTGGAGTCTCTCCTGACGTGTTTGTTGCTCTCAAATGAATTGTGACCGTCTCTTTCTGCCTCAGTCGTCCATCTCGCACTCCTCCTCCTCCATCTTCTGTTCGGTTTGTCCTCACAGAGATGTTTAATTAGAAAGCCTGTGTCTTGACTCTAGCAGCCTGGCAGTCATTGAAGCAGTTCATCTGTCCTTGCCGTCACACCTAACATTTCAACTACGAGTGTTTTCTATTCTCGGTTCTCTGAAGAAGAAGGAAAAGCATGTCATGTCATCTCATCCCTCCTGTGATTTCCATCAGTAAAGAGCTTCACAAGTTTCTCTTGTTCAGTTCTATTTTTGTATTTTGTGAATGATCACAGCTGGCTTTTGTGGATGCAGTCGAGTCTTAGGGGGTGATTTTGTCGACGCGAAGCCGGTCGTGTGAATGTGTCCGTTTTATATCATTTGAGATGTTCTTCTCTCAACCCTCTGAGAACAGACTTATTAAAAACCAAGCAAAGTCCAATTATTTTCTTTACAGTGCCTGGGTTTATATGTTACTGAGCCAGACTGACAGAGGAATACTAGTACAAAGAAATCTTTTCAAAAAGTTTCCAGCCTCCAGTGCTGGGAAGATTTATCAGCGCCACTGATACGAGGCAAGGACATTTGCTGTTTCTACCGGAGAGAAATCAATTTCTGAAAGAGCGTTCGCGCTGCACATTAATCCAGCCTGATACGGACCTCATTTTGTTTCCTTTTTGACTTGGCTAATGTTTTACTTCATGCTCAGATTTGCCTTTTTTATGCCTCACTAGCTAGCAAGTCCTTCTATAGTTGTTTTAAAAAAAAAAAAATTCTATTAAATCAGTGCTGTATTAAATTTGCATATAAAGTTAAAGATGCTTGTAAAAGAGGAAGTTTAAAATGGTTATCATTTGCTCTTCCTTATGTCATTCCAGACCTGTGTGACTTTTTCGTCTGTGGATCACAATTGAAGGTGTTTTGAAGATTGCACTTAGCTGAACTTTTACATGCAATTGCAATAAATGAGGACTGCTTCAAAGGCCACGAAATCACTAAAAAAATTCAGTAAAGTATTTATATGACTTGTGCACCACGGTCCAAGTTGACTGAAGTCGTAGCTTTTTGTGAGAAACTGCTAAAATCATAATCCAGATCAGTCCAATTCGTGTGTGAATCATTCTGACTGGGTTTTGAACTGAATCTTTTGTTTTATCGGAAAGATCTGATTCAAAAAGAATGAATCATTCACTATTCAGCTAAGCGGAGCGGTGACAGGCAGATAGGTGAATTTCACTTAAATTTGGTTTCTTTCTCACACAAAGTTACTTCAAGAGGTTTGGAATATAGTGTACAAGTCTTGTGAACTATTTTTTAGATACTTTTATGGTGCTTTCAAGTCTATTTTAAGGCTTAAAAGCTCCAGTTCTCATTCATTGTAGTTGCATGGGGGAGAAAAGCAACCAAATGCATTCTTAAAAATGTCTCCTTTTGTGTTCCACTAAAGAAAAAGTTTTGGAAAGACACAAATGTGAATAAATGAAGACAAAATTTAGGTTTTGAGGTGAACTATACTTCCATTTTTGGTTGTTTTTTATCTCTTCACACATAAAAGGGACATTCACACAACATGAACACAATGAATGAACACACAATGAATGAACAGTGCAGAAGTGTAGTTGTGTGGTTTAACAGACAAGGAGAGATGAGCTCTTGAGCACACACATAATCATTCACGCATCCACCCAGACCTTACTGGAAAGCAACCTTTTAGCATTTTCTTTGATTAGAAGACA